GTTGTGCTGACTGTAAGTGAGGGCATGCTATATTCCTTGAAGGTGTATTTATGATACCTGTATGGGAGCCCTTTGAAGCTCCAGAGCTTTAGTAAATCTACTACAAGTCTGGAAGGGTGATGAGTCAGTAGTGTTGAAAATGCATTGGTGTGTACAGATGGTGAGTACGTTATTTGTAAGTTGTATTGGGACACATGGTTTGTCATGTGCCTTGAATGATTTGAACATATATGCAACAGTCTATATGCAATGCAACTACTCATACCAATTGTCTCTGGTAGTTCAGAGGTGCTGGTACCTGGAGCCTGAGAGTGCTCGTCCGTTTGTTTGGGACAAAATCCCTTCTGTATGGGTACCTGCACAAATAAACATGTCTACATATTCCAAATGCCAACACAACCAAGGGATGGTCAGTTTCCGATTTACCTGGAATCCCTTGATCTGACCATCACAGATACATCATCATACATATATATGCCTTGTTTCCCCAATGTGCTGGGATCATATGTGCAGGGTTAACGTCTTGTGTGTCATAAGAATTGATTGTACCAGGTAACCGAGTTTCGGATGGTGCTGTTGTACAGTAGCGTGAGGCCCAGCCTCGTGAGGGCTGTGGTGACCAACTCGAGATTGCCAGTCTGTTATAAATTTTTTGGCTCATGAGTGAGGCTAGCATGGCCTGCATGTCACCTGAGTTGGTGTTGCTGGGCCTTCCCCTGCCTCCGTGTTGTCCGTTGATGTATGGAGGAGTTTGAGGGGGCAATGTAGTTGGATACTGATTGGTATGTGAAATGTTGTTTGTCTGTTGACCTATAGGGGTCGGTGTTTTGGTGTTTGTAAAACCCCATGAAAATTGTCAATGTACTTGACAGACCTGTAGGTGGCAGTGTTGATAGAACCACTGTTGGCCTTAATGTGAAATGTAAATTATTGTGAATTAAACTTGAAGTTGAGCCAGTGTTGGAGTTTAATTCATGGTTTATGGTTATGTTTAAAACAATCTTATGTGTAATTTATATTGGCTGGTAAATTGTATATGACATGTGAAGACAGTTTTGCTGTTGTCCAGTAGGGGTCAGAAATGCTGATTGTATGGTAAAATACCCTTTAATCCAAATGCAAGGTTAACGTGAGATTTTGAGAGTGACCTGTAGGGGTCAGTGTGGTTTATGTGAAACATTGTTCGTGAGCTATGCCCCAGCATTATAGTTGAATGACAGGGAAACGAACAGTGCCCATTTGACAATATACAATATGTGAACATAATAGCTTAATAACAGTCATTGTAACAAACTTGTGTTCTGTTTGTGTGTTGTAAACGCACAAAACGTGTGTGTAGTACAATAGTAAATGCATGAACTAGTTCCCGTTTGGTGGAAAATTGCACGAACCGTGAGCCTGGTATGTCAGGGAAACAAAACGAGCAGTGAGATTCGAAATGCACGCACAGAATTGCCTAGTATGTTTAGGCAATTGAAACAGAATGTGTTCTCGTTCGGGAGTATGCTAATGCTCGAAATGAGCCAGTGACAGATATAAACAAGTGAGTTTAAACGAATGATATGCATGAACATGCAATGGTTTTAGAACAGACTTAGACAAAATGCAGCCGTAAAGTGAGGACCTGACCTGTGCATGGTGCCGTGGGACTGATGCCTGGCGTAACGGGTAGGTCGACTTACGGTTTGTGAGTCACTTGGACACCATCCACAGCGATGGATTGAAGAAAGAAGGTGGTAGGCCGGAAAAGCCTGTGGCTGAATTCCTGACACAGCTCAGCTTAGAAAACCTCATGGAGTAATCAGGTAAAATGGCGTCTGGATGACCAGGAAGTGGAAATCATTCTGATGCTGACCTCAAGCGATATGGAGTCAGGTAAGGGGTGTCCCTTATATAGGGGAGTGAATCAATTTAAGCCCCTCCCACAAATACAGGCCAAACGGCCTTAATACATATACTGAACAACATTATAAACGCAACACTGCCCCCATTTTTAACGAGCTGAACTGATATAACTTTATAATTTTTTTCAGTATATATAGTTTAAACTAAATTGATTAGATACATTTGACATGATATTAATTAGGTACAGCAAACTCCATGTTACATTTTGCAAAGAAAGGGAAAAAAGTAGGCATGTGCATGGGGAAAATTTTCGGTTCGGTTCGGCATTCCGAATTTCGTGACTTTCGCAATTCGGGACTTCGGCACTTCAACACTTCGGAAATTCGGCAACTTCGGCACTTCGGGACTTCCCTTGCAGCCGCTTAGTAGATAACTTCCTAATTCCCACGGTATAAAAATTACTTAGTATTAGTAAATTTTGCCCCTACTCACTATGCTGAGAGTGGCCCTAGATACCCTCCCCCCCTCCACTTATTCCAATTTAGGGCCCCACGCTGTGTAATTTGACTCATAACTCTCTGATTGGTTACTTAATCCACCAATCAGAGTGTTATGAGTCAAATTACACAGCTTGAAATTCCAAAGAACTTTCCCACGCTGTGTAAAATGACACAGAGCACTCTGATTGGTGGATTTCAAGCCAACCAATCAGAGTGCTGTGACAGGTAAATGTAGAGACTTACCTGTCAGTCTCTTCATTTACCTGTCAGAGCACTCTGATTGGATGGCTTAAACCCACCAATCAGAGTGCTCTGAGCCAAATTGCTGGGCGGGGCAAGAATTTATAAGCCTTCCCCTGCCCTGCAGAGCTCAGTCAGCGCTGAGCCCTCGCCGGGTGAAGATGGATAAAAAAAATTTGCGCTCTTTTTTTTTTTTTAATTGCGTCGGTTATTATGGATTTTTATTTGGCCTTTTTGGGGGCTAAAAAAAGATTTTTGAAGAAAGAAAACATTGAATGGTCAGTTTTATTTATTTTTTACAGGTACTTAGTTGTCCCACTTCTCCTTCACAATAAGCAATTATAAGCACATACCACAAAAATACAAAGTGCGCCTGTTAAAAAGACAGCTTATACCAAATAATAGGGTTTTTGATAGGGCTGTACACGTTTCGTCAATCCGACTTCCTCAGGAACTTTACCTTTATATAGTATCTTTTGCATTTTTGCACATGCACTTTATACCAGCTGCTATCCCTAAGGGTTTTTATTTGTGCTATTGCCTAATTTTATTCAATTATCAATGAGCGGCTGGTGGGGGTCCTAAATTGGAATAAGGGAGGGGACCTAATGTCCTCCCCTCTGAGCGGTGGGTGGGGGACCTAATGTCCTCCCCTCTGGTCCCCACCCCTGAGCGGCGGGTGGGAGCCCTAAATACTAATAAGGGGGGGGGACCTAAGGACCCCCCCCCTGACCCCACCCCTGAGCAGTGGGTGGGGCCCTAAATACCAATAGGGGGGACCTATTGTCCTCCCCCCAGCCCCCACCCCTAGTCACCGGGGGGTAACATTTTTATTTAGGGCCCCCACCCGCCGCTCAGGGGTGGGGGCTGGGGGGAGGACAATAGGTCCCCCCTATTGGTATTTAGGGCCCCACCCACTGCTC